GTTAGCTAGCTAACAAAATTCACTAATGCTAAGCTAACACACAAAACAAAAATACCTACCTTCATAGTCAAACAGGTATTGTTCGGTGAAGAATTTCTAGCCTTTGTCTAATTTAGATTTTGTTATCGGAGAAAATTGGTTGGCAAATTGTGATATATCTTCAAATCTTATTTTAGGCAAATGTTTCAGAGACTGTGTAAACTCCATGCTACGGTGTTCTGTCTGATCAACATATGCTGTCAGATATATACATAAATATATATATATATATATATATATATATATATATATATATATATATATATATATAAATATATAAATCTCTCTTTCTATATATATGTCTCTATATATATATATACGTGTCCATTTTACATATACATATATATATATATATATATATATATATATATATGAAATAGACAACTTTATAATTACTTACTATGTACACCGGAACTAAGGATACACAGCTTCGAGCCAAAACGGAAGTTGTGTGACGTCATGTGAAAAGGGTCTATTGCACACAGGTAAACAGGTTCAGAAACAGGAAGCAGTCATCAGCAGAGCCAAGGACAGGCTGCTGGATTTGACCATCATTCCTTAAAGTCACATGACCTCAATAAGCTCCTCCCCCTGTGTTCAGGGACTTCCTCCCTCGCGGATCAGGAATCGTGACGCGGCGCCCGCTGGTGCTCCAGCTCATCAACTGTCCAACAGGTGAGATGGCCTGCAGCGGAAACATTATTGATCAGATGATTATTGATCCGATGATTATTGATCCGATGATTATTGATCCGATGATTATTGATCAGAATATGCAGAGTTCCTCCACTGTAAGGGGAAGAAGTTCATCGACTTCGATGAAGTTCGTCAGGAGATTGAGGCGGAGACGGACCGAGTGACGGGACACAACAAGGGAATCAGTCCGGTGCCCATTAACCTGAGGGTATACTCCCCCAATGGTAACTCACCTGTCCTGTGTCCGCCTGTCCTGTGTCCACCTGTCCTGTGTCCACCTGTCCTGTGTCCACCTGTCCTGTGTGCAGTGCTGAACCTGACGCTGGTGGATCTCCCCGGCATGACTAAGGTCCCTGTCGGCGACCAGCCGGCCGACATCGAGCATCAGATCAGAGACATGCTCATGCAGTTCGTCACCAAGGACAACTGTCTCCTGCTGGCCGTGTCCCCCGCCAACTCCGACCTCGCCAACTCAGACGCCCTGAAGATCGCCAAGGAGGTCGACCCTCAAGGTCCGGCCGCAGCTCTGCTCCCTTCCTGCCTGGGGGCAGAGACAGGAAGTGAAGGTGTGTCCATGTGTTGCAGGTCTGAGGACCATTGGCGTCATCACCAAGCTGGACCTGATGGACGAAGGGACGGACGCCAGGGACATCCTGGAGAACAAGCTGCTGCCGCTGCGCAGAGGTATGACATCACGTGGCTGCTGATTGGTTCACAGCTTTCTGTCATCACCAACAAAGTTGTCCACTCAGAGTCCAGGTGTCCACTGTGGGACACTAAGGGACGTGTTGTGGTGCAGGTTACATCGGGGTGGTGAACCGCAGTCAGAAGGACATCGATGGGAAGAAGGACATCACCGCTGCTCTGCAGGCCGAGAGGAAGTTCTTCCTGTCCCATCCATCTTACCGTCACCTGGCCGACCGGATGGGCACCGCCTACCTGCAGAAGGTCCTCAACCAGGTGAGCAGGCCACGTCACTGCGGGTCAGCTGCACTTCATCTGGGGTCTAGTCCAAGGCTCCAGCAGATTCTATTTCATCGTTGGTCCATCATGTGACCCATCGGGTCCACCACCTGCCGGTCCTCTGACCATCAGACCTGCATAACTCACCACACCTTAAAACCACTTCCAGCTCTGGTTACCAAGCACTTTTCTGTCTCCCAGCAACTGACCAACCACATCCGGGACACGTTACCAGGGTTACGGAGCAAGCTGCAGAGCCAGCTGCTGTCCATCGAGAAGGAGGTGGAGGAGTACAAGAACTTCAGGCCCGATGACCCGAGCCGCAAGACCAAGGCCCTGCTCCAGTCAGTATCAGAACCTGAACAAAACCACATATACATCAGCACTCAGAACCAGTTATAATCAGTCAGAACCGGTTAGAACCAGTTGTCCTAGTGTTCTGTGTGTCTCAGAATGGTGCAGCAGTTCGCGGTGGACTTTGAGAAACGGATCGAAGGTTCTGGAGATCAGGTGGAAACTTACGAGCTTTCAGGAGGAGCCAAGATCAACCGCGTCTTCCACGAGCGCTTCCCCTTTGAACTGGTCAAGGTAACTCCTCACATAGGTAACCAGGTGTACCAGGTAACTAGTTGTACCAGGTGTACCAGGTAACCAGGTAACAGGTGTACCAGGTAGCCAGGTGTTGCTTTGTCTCCACTGCAGCTGGAGGGCGATGAGAAAACTCTACGTAAGGAGATCAGCTACGCCATCAAGAACATCCACGGGATCAGGTGAGGTCATGTCTGACACCGGGCCAACAGGTGTGAGGTGAGAGCTTGGTGCTGATTAGATGCGTTGGTCCTCAGGACGGGTCTGTTCACGCCGGACATGGCCTTCGAGACCATCGTCAAGCGGCAGATCGCCCAGATCAAAGAACCCTGCCAGAAGTGTGTTGACCTGGTGATCAGCGAGCTGGTCAACACCGTGAGGCAGTGCACCAGCAAGGTACTACAGGGTACTATAGGGTTACTGTGGTGTACTACAGGGCACCAGCAAGGTACTATGGGGTACTACAAGGTTAGTACCCTACTTCCTGCTTCCTACTTCCTCCTTTCTGTCTGCAGCTGGCGCAGTATCCAATGCTCCGAGAGGAAATGGAAAGAATCGTCACTCAGCACATCAGAGACAGAGAGAGTCGCACCAAAGACCAGGTGAGTTCTACTTTGCTCCTCCTGTCTCTGGGAATCCTCAGGTGTCTCTAGGGACCTTCGGGTGTCTCTAGGGACCCTGGGGTGACTCTAGGGACCCTGGGGTGTCTCTAGGGACCTTCGGGTGTCTCTAGGGACCTTCGGGTGTCTCTAGGAACCCTGGGGTGTCTCTAGGGACCCTGGGGTGTCTTTAGGGACCTTCAGGTGTCTCTAGGGACCTTCGGGTGTCTCTAGGGACCCTGGGGTGACTCTAGGGACCTTCAGGTGTCTCTAGGGACCCTGGGGTGACTCTAGGGACCTTCAGATAACGGCTGTCTCTGCTGCGTCCCCCAGGTGATTCTGCTGATCGACATCGAGCTTGCCTACGTTAATACCAACCATGAGGATTTTATCGGCTTCGCAAAGTAAGATCCTTGAACTGATCAGAACCAGAGGAATACATCCAGTTCTGTTGGGTCCACCAGCCAGATCCCCAGGTGTTTGGGTCAGGTGACCCACCTGAGCTGAAGCTGTGTCTCCCCTAACACAGAGTGTGTTTGTGTGTGTGTGTGTCAGCGCACAGCAGAAGAGCAGCCAGATAAACAAGAAAAAGGCTGCAGGGAACCAGGATGAGATCATGGTGAGTGGACCGGTTGGTTCTGGTCCAGTTTTGATTGGGTTCTGATGGTACCTGATGTCTGTGGTTCAGGTGATCCGGAAGGGCTGGCTCACCATCAACAACATCGGCATCATGAAGGGCGGAGCCAAGGAGTACTGGTTTGTCCTGACGGCGGAGGCCCTGTCCTGGTACAAAGACAACGAGGTACCAGAACCAGATCCGCAGCCTCTACAGGCAGCTGTTAGACAGACCTGGTTCTGGTCCGGTCACACTGACCCGGCTGCAGCAATCCTGGTTTTGACCCGGACTGGTCTTGGTCTGGTTGGTCAGATGGATGTTGAACAGCCAGTACCAGTCCAGAACCAGGACCGTTGGTGGTTCTGAGGACACAGCTTCTGATGAGCCGGTTCTGACCTGGTTTCCAAGCAGAACCGTTATCACTGTTGCCCCCTGCAGGAGAAGGAGAAGAAGTACATGCTGCCGGTGGACAACCTGAAGCTGAAGGACATCGAGAAGAGCTTCATGTCCAGCAAGCACGTCTTCGCCCTGTTCAACACCGAGCACAGGTTGACCTCTGACCCCGTCCTCTCTGTCCCTGGCCCAGTTCTGGACGCTCAGCCGGTCCCCTCCGCTGTCCCCGCAGGAACGTATACAAGGACTACCGGCAGCTGGAGCTGGCTAGCGAGTCCCAGGAGGAGGTGGACAGCTGGAAGGCGTCTTTCCTACGCGCCGGGGTGTACCCTGAACGCAGCGTGGTAGGCTCCGCCTCTGCGCTCCTCCTCACTGCAGGTCCACCTTTAGACTCTGTCCTCACTCTGTCTGTCCTGTCTCTGCCCTGCAGGATAAGGACAAGGTGAGTGGAGGGTTATGGGAGCCGGGCCGGCCGGTTTTGGAGGTTCTGGAGCGGTGTGTGTGTGTGTGTGTGTACGTGTGTGTCTTGGCAGGTGGAGGCAGAGGAGTCCAGTTCTGACGGACAGATCCACAGCATGGACCCTCAGCTGGAGAGACAGGTGGAGATCGTCCGCAATCTGGTGGACTCGTACCTGTCCATCATCCACCGGACCGTCAGGGACCTGATCCCCAAGACCATCATGCACCTGATGGTCAACAACGTACGCCTCACACACCTGGACAGGTGCCGACAGGTGCAGTCAGGACAAAGTGTCATGTGATGTCCGTTCTGCTTCCCAGACCAAGGAGTTCATCCACTCTGACCTGCTGGCTCACCTGTACTCCTGCGGAGACCAGAACAGCCTGATGGAGGAGTCGCAGGAGCAGGTGGGGGAGGGGCGTCAGGGGTCAAACTCTTGAATACCTAAATAAATAGTGGTTGGCCTTAAAGCTGCAGTAACTTATTAAAAGTTTTTTCCATATCGGAGAATGTGTCTCCATGGTGACAATCAGAGAACAGTTCGATCTGAAGAAATGCACCAAGAACAACCAATTAGAGCCCAGAAGAGGGGCTTAGTGCTGTCAATCATCCTCAGGTACAGGCTACTAAATGTACTAATGGTGGACAAACAAACTACAACTACAGGAATCCACCGTTATCAGTCGCTAAGTTAACTAGCATTAGCATTTGTGTCAGGCTCTGTTGTGGTGAACCAGCTGCAGTGTAGCAGACCAGGCCAAAGTTGTGCAGCGTGAACACGAGGTTGACTGACAACGCTAACACCATCCCCCTCTCTCTGATTGGTTGTTTTTGACTGAGTGGTGTATTTCTGCAGTTCGCACTGGGAGCACTGACCTCGATCGCTGCACAGATCGTCTGTTGCGACATGGAGATGTTATTTTCAGTCAGGCAAAAGCTCGAGCTCAGTGGATGCTAATGCTAACTATCTGCTAACAATGTCGATAGCTAGCAAGCTACATTATGTTTTAGCATCTATCATGGGTCAGTGTAAATTTAGCACCAGTCTGTCCCTCACTCTGTCCCTGTCCCTGTCCCAGGCCCAGCACCGGGACGAGATGCTCCGAATGTACTTTGCTCTGAAAGAAGCTCTGAACATCATCGGGGACATCAGCACGTCCACCGTTA